GTGACCACGTGCAACACAACATTGAAATGATTCATCACGTGGGCTGAGCTTTCAGTACTGCCAATCCGAACCTCTTGAATATTTAACTCTCTGCAACATTTGTGATGGTGAGTAATAACAAAATTGCATAACCTGATGTGACATTCTTGTATCAAACAGTCACCATTTCGGGAGGTACTAGAGCAGAATTCAGCGCTACTGGAAAGAAATAACCTTTGGGTCATTCCTATTAGTGGTTTGCCGCAAGGAATCACAAATTTACTTGACCTATTGAGTGTGTGGTGTGTGTAAAACAATGTTCGGATTCATGGACTATCTGTTTATTTCACTGGGGCGGCAAGTCTAGTAGCATACTGTCCACTCAACAGCCATGGACTTCTGAATTAGCTGATATTTCTGTAGAATAAACTCTTAGGACTTTAGAAAGGCAGTTTCCCTACTATGGCCATCCAGATGCAAGACATAGCTCACCTCAACTGACCCATTCGTGCTGCTGATCAAGTGATCACAGATTCATAGACCCAAAACTCAAGAAATAACCTTGGTGAACGTCTCCGCGCTGAACTATGTGGCTGCTTAAGTGCTGATAACACTTCCGAAACCCAAGAAAGATTTGGTTCGGATTCTTTCAATCACACAGCGGATTGATTAAGATCCATTTACTACATACGAAGATTGGAATAGTAAATATACATTCGGGTCGACGTCACAGACTGACCTAATGTTATCTGAGTTTCAGAAAGCAGATGTTTATGAAGAATAATCGCGAACGCTTTCTTTGGATAATAGATTTAGTGCAAAGTGTGTCAATAAGAGCTATGTATTTCATGTGATAGTGCTCACCTGCGGAGTACTGGTTGTTTTCGAGAAGCCACTAGTCATAGGTGAGGTGCAGTGAGACGGTTAAGGGCCCTCCACAGAATTTCACATAGTCAGATTTCTTAAAGTTCAAATGATTCTTCTTGTTTTCCTGGCAAAATGTAGTCTTTATCCATCCCTTCACCCTGCAATGTTAAATCCTACTGAATGATGACCTTCATTACGATATTGGGTAGGGTGTCATTTTATTGTCAATACTGGTATGACTGAATCCGCAATATCCATGAGGGGTATACCATTGCCTTGTTATAATGGGCAGCTGAAATCGGTCATACGTTACCTCTAAGTGGAACGCCTGATATCCCTCTGAAATCAACAAACTAGTAATCACGCTTAATCTATGGTGGGTCAAAAAACCTGAACCTCCGCATTTCAAAATACTGTACGTTGGTTTAATGGTGAGCTCATGGTGAAAATTTATGAGTGTGCAAGTAATGTTCAAATAAATACCCCAAGAGGAATCATTTTTATGTTGCATGGCATTTTAAAATTTCCCCAGTGATTAATATCATTTCTAAGTCCCGCTGTTTTAATCTGACTCACATGGGACACTTGTCGGTGGCAAGAGAGAATTAAGTATTCAACCAGAGAAGGATGAAGCATTCGGGGCAATAAAAATCTCTCTGAGTCCTATGAGCTAAGAGATCGAATTCCAGTGCATCCGTAGGTATTGAATTGGAAGTTACCCAAACATTATGATCTACAGCACTGGATGAATTTCATTCTGCTTATTTGGAGTTTGCAAAAAGCGGACCGCTAGCGGGCATCACCTGATACTGGTTTGAAAATGATTCTGACAATACGAAAAGATAAAGTGGCTGTTTGCAAAAATTACTCCACGGGGAATCTGGGGGCTTACGGTAGCTTTTCAGTGAGATTGCTGCTGTCCTTACGCAAGCTCGCACTCTGCTGTCGTTTTATGGATTCTAATTCCTCATGGCCGGAGTTAATAATCACAATTCCTGATCTCTTTGTCATTGATAATTAGACTCCCCTACATAATGAAAACTACAACTGGATTAAACATATTACTTGCCGTCATTTATGCACTACATCGCATCTACCTCAGTCGTAGAGGTTAGTGGAAAACTTTATACGAACAGTGACATGTTCTACAGAAGCAGTGGATCTGAAAAATTTTGAAGAACTATGGCAGTTGGTTGACAACTTCTAACGTCAACACCACAATGTAGAGCACATAAGCAGTGATGTAAGTGCTAACCATGGAAATCATACTGCGAAAGTTGAGAATCAAGTTAATGAAATTTCCAGGAGTAGATTATTCTCGTAGCACCAGATATATGGATAGGGGAGAATTTAAAGAGGAAAGTATTTCCAGTGATAACATACTGATCACGTTTCTAATTCTCGCTTTAAAATAATTTAGGAATACACACGAATGATTTTGATGACAGTAATTATTACTATTATGACAGTAATGATATAGAAACAGTAAAGGATTCCGACAAACTTGCAACTGAACCAAAAGTTTCCCTATAAACGTGCAGAGAAGCAGCTAACATATGGTGGATATAGTGATTGAATATTTCTTTTGCTGTAACATGCGGTTAGGACTCTCGCCGACCATGCACATAGTCCGGGAATGGATCCCCTGCAAAACTTGAGCTACCGATATCACATGCCGAGAATTCCATACTAGTGCCAATAATACTGTGTTAAATCAAGCTATGATAAAAATGGTGATTGATAGCCTCCTATGCTTAACCTTAAAACTCAAAAGAAATGATTCTGCTGAACAAGCATTTCTTATATCTGTCCTCCTCCCTGATATCGCGCACCAGTATTCGGTCACTGCTAATGATAACTACAAAGTTCGGTCACATTTATATTCGTACTGCAGCTTCCTTAACTTTTGTCGCTGGGAATTTCGAGGAAACTCATCGTTTGGTTAGCCGACACCACAATAGTTAAGTCACATCATTCAAAATATTTTCCAACACGGAAAATGATACTTTGCTGAGTGCATTCGCAAGATACATAAACACTAGAATACAATTTTTAGTACGCAGCTGCACTCATAATTATATGTAAGCTATATGCAAGAGGCCTTAATGCCGTTATCTAACGCTAACGAATTTTAAATGAAAGATGCTAGTTTACAGATGTTTTCCGGTTGATTAATTCAAATGTGTACAGTCAACAGATATCAGCCAATCATCCAAGTTTACTAGGATTGATAAAAATATTTAGACACTGTGGGAAGCACTGGTATGCAAGTTTTCTGCTGCTGGCAGATGGCTTTAACGTAACAAAAGACAATTATTTGTTCAACCCAAAACAGCATCTGGAGTGTGTGATATATGCATTATATCTTATGGTTGGTCATTCTACTGACAATAGAATTTGATTACTTGGAAACTTTTGTAGGGCAGTACATTAATGTAATTACCTTCTCTTGACTTCGGGAGATTAAGCGGAATAAGCGGGTGCACTATGGGACATAAGTGTAAGTAATATACTTTAAGAAATAATGGATATATACGGGTTCACCACTTTAGGGGTTGATTGTTACGACGGCTACGCAACGTATAAAAAATGCCTTTGCTCCTACCATTTACAAGCCTGTTCAGCATTTTGTCAAGATGCTACCCCATCAGCTATACAGAAATTCGTGAGAAATCTTACTGGTCAGCCTGCCCTACGGGTTCTAATCCTCCAGATGTATGAATTCACTTCTCAATTAAATATCACTTATCTACCTCAAGATAATCCTTTTATCTAATTACTATTATACTCTATTTTATCTTAACTACCTAGGCCTCTAATAAGGCTAAGACTTACTCTTTGTCAGTATTTGTTGCTTCCTTAATGTCTGGCTGCTTTGATTAAAAACGCAACAAAACAGTGATGAACAAAGCTATATTTTCATCGCAAACGTCATAGTTCCTATGCTAAGACCGATATGGTTTGCACTAAACATTGCAAATGTATACTGTCATTCCAAGGAGTCTGAAGCTCCTTCTTGTACATATCTTGTAAATGTACTTGCAATGATGTATTATCCATAATTGTATTTTATGGCATTTTGCAGTTTCTCAGGACGTTCTACTCTCCGTGAAAAGGCTCTCAATCAAGTGGCTGCATAGCACTTATCCAAATATAGGCTGTTCGCTGGCTGACCATAACTACCAGTATGAAACAGAACGAAACTTGGGTTATCGCTCAACTTCCACAGTGACCTTAGTGAAGGATTTATAATTTAACATTGATAAGAATCTGTTCTGATCGCTTGTACAATAACTGAACAATTTAAACTTTTGAAAAGTATTACTTTGTGGTACTTCAGGATTGTAATTTATACAATCACTGATCGTGACTGCAAAAATGGCATGTATTTCTTGTAAACACCAGTTTATACGAAATATAAATTGTTATTATGCACTGTGTACAAACGCAAATTTTCCCCATCGATTCCCAGACCAATTGTTCTGCCTGTAACACAGACATCAAAACAAAAACTAATCACCGGAAATACGAGATATACTTCAGGATCAGAAATGCAGAGCGTTGATAGCTGCTTAACTAGGGTTCATTCAAGACAGCGCGTCAGGTAGTGTGGACGCCTGACCGAGTGTCTTTAGCTTAACGGATAAACTCAGACGATGAGGGTCAGCATATAATGCGGAATGAAGAATTCTGCAGAATAATAATTTTTGCAAGTGTTTACCACTACAAAACCTAGCTAAGTATTTAGGATGATTTTCAAAATTATAAAGTGACGCATTTCTTTACATTCTGTAGGACCCTGATCGCTGAGAATGGCACCATAAGCAAGCCCACACCCCTTAGGCATTGGGTTTAGAACATCTCAGTAATAGTCTGGGCTTACTTTAAACAACAGCGGCTGAATACGACTGTGAGAGATAGCCTTGTGGTATCAGATACAGGCAAAAATGTTATGGAAATGTGTAATGTTTTGTTCGATGATACTTATCAAACAGTTAAACTCCATTTTGCTTTATCACTTGTCTCACTAACCACCACACAGGAATTATATGCAGTATCATCACTAACCACACTCATATAAAAGGCCTGAATAAGAAAACATGGAGTTACCGACTGCTAGGTTCTATTCTGGATATTTGTCCACTGAGGTTTATTGGAATTTTGGTGAGCGCAGTAAGAAATAGGCCCGCGCAATTTTACTTATTGCGTTACCCTTATATTACTTCACCTACAATTAATCGTAATGGATCAGAATATTAATTTGAATTCCTTAACACCTGCACAAAAAGGACAGCTAATGGAACAAATGAAAGCTGAAGTTGCTTTGGCAAGCGCCAGAGAGTTATTGGAAGTAAGTAATTAAGCATAATGTTCAAATGAAACCTAGAAAATGTCGGATAAATGTTTTGAAAAGTGTGTTTCCAAACCAGGAACAAGTTTAGATAACTCTGAACAGGTAACGTTAAACTTTCTTACATTACTAAGTGGATAGAAATGTGTAGGTCTGTGCATGGATCGCTATGTAGAAGCCTGGAATTTAGTCTCTAAAGTATTTGCAGCACGTATAAGACGGGAAGCTGAAAAGTTGTAAAAATATACTTTAGTCTCTTCAAAACATATTCTGTACATAGTATTTTAGATATAAACATGCTTTTATACTGAAAACACTTGTTTTATAAAATTCTAACTCTTACCAAATAGCCCTGAGTGTATAAAGTAAACGCTTCATGCATATCTTGATTTCAAGGAGACCTTCAAGTAAATTTTATGACCTTAATTCCTCTTGTAATAGGATTTTACGTAAGAGCAGGTGTGTATATTTTACCTATTTGTATGAAGACATTCCATCTTTCCTGCGCAAGATAACTCAGTATACTTTATTCAGAATACTCCTTATATGCGTACTTGGTATCCTTTACGCCGCATCTATTTTTAGCAGTACACGACGACGGGAAAAGAAGCAATCTTGTTAAGTGGGGAATTAGTTGCATGAGTACACATGAAGACGAAAACAGAAATTACTAAGTTAGTTAAATTACTAATGGTGAAATTGGAATTTGTCAGTTCAGCCATCTAGTCCGCGATGAATTCTGTATTCAACAGATAAACTCGTGCCTTGCGTTAATACTGAAGATTTTTCTTGATATCGATTCCATATTGCGTGTCGTAAATAGTGGTGAATTACACCTACCAGTCGAAATATCCATCCACATGAGATCTTGTTTTGATATCTAATGGTGTATATGCTTCGTTGGTATTAAGATGCCAATTTTTCAGTGATTTATTGTATTGCGCCTGTTCCCAATGTAGCCTTGCGAATTCTTCCTTTAAATGTCACAAAGATTGTCCATAATTCGCATGGACTGTGGTGTTGATTCTTCGTTTTCCGTGGAGTATTGTTCACTTATTTACAAACTTCGTAATTTCGCTTCTTCACCTTCAAGTACTCTAATGTGATTACTTATAATAGTTTGCCATTTGAGAAAAATAACTCACCTATTTCCGACTTTTTTCATCATCATACAACTGGTTGAAGTATGACGTATCTCTTAAAACTGAAATAGATTGTCATAAAGTATCTAATAAAGAAGTCAGTTTAAAAGTACAATAGATTTTACTCAAACTTGAAGCTTAAACTTTTCAATTCCGAGGGACTTTTTAATATATAATTCGAAGTGCAACTATCATCCTTTGTGAAAAGTTAGTTAAATAAATTTAGTGTAGATTAAGAAATGTTTATGATACTTATTTCTGAGAACAGGGTTTCTAGCAGTTGGGATTCTCTATAAACGGCCTACTTATCAAACCTGAATTCCCTTCGTATAAGATTGCTGCAATTCTGTAGACAGTATCATAATCTATCCAATAAAAGTTGGCAGAGATTATCAAAAATTCCTTTCACCACTCTGGAGTTGTATAATGCAGTTGGGCGATAATCAGGAATGCTTTTTATGCTTTTGCAAGTATGTGGGAGGTAGTTACTTCCCAGTTGTTCACACCATGAAAGTTGATTTCCTCTTCGACTATCTGTTGCATGACCGCAGAACCCAGGAGGCAACTGCTTGAAGCCGGTTACATGTGGCCTATTTGAAGTTGTGTCCGTATGAAGATCTTACCGCCTTAAGGTAAGTCGAGTTGTACAACTTTTGGCGGTCGATCTTTCCTAACCCCTCTCTCTTCAGAGCTGAGAAGCAAAACAACCAACATACTGTTCATCGTAGGGAAGCGTTTTACTGCTGTTACACCCCTAATCTCTAGCAGTGCGATTTCACGCATTGCCCTCCCATCTTACACTATGATGGTATCTTCTTTTAGTCTAACCGCCATCCAAACGATCTTTTTCAAATGGTATGACCTGCTGGAATATTAGTTTCAGCCAGTGTAGGTCGTCGGTTCAATGCGATATGCAAGCCGACCATCACTTCGATAAAGTAGCTATCTGTCGGGAGTTTCATGCTAATAAAAGTTCATTATTCATGAGTGGTTGTTTATTGTTATTGTCAGAAACCAACCTATTTGCACTAAAATTCCTAATAAATGAGTGGTAGGTAGTACAGTATTGTTGTCTTTAAAAGAAACTCTTGCATCGAATAAGGTATGGTCTTGTAAGGAATGTGCATAGTAGTTCTTACGGTAGTAAATATCCAACATTGTATCATTTCAACCTCTGACAGTGCTTCCCATCAAGAACTACTGGCTAAAGACCCTTGGTGGCGTAGTTCAATGATGCAGATCTAGATCCATTAAATTCTTATCCTACTTCACGTACTCAGTCCTTGTCTCATACATTTTTCATCCACTACAATTCCCTTGGATTTTTTCTTCACCTTTGTGTGTGATATGGAGTATGAAAAGTTGAACTGTTGTATTTCTGTTCAAAGTTCTGGGTAGAAAGCTCAGTCAGTCGGCTTTTCTGTTCTTACTTTCTTTCTGTAACCTGCTGCACTCACCTGCTATGTCGCCTTATGTTAGTCAGAACTACTTATCAGTTGGAACACTTGACATGTTTCGTGTATATTGTCCTATATAAATAGCAAGTCTACTGCTGTGTAGGCCTTCAAAATTCATTATTATATTATTATTATTGTTGTTCCCTTGGGTTCCTAATGCAACAAAGGGCTTCAACTGCACGTCTCCACTTGCTTCTGTCTTCTGCTGTACTTTTCACTTGCATCCATGTTAGTCCATACTGTTTCAACTCTTCTTCACACCATCTCCTCCATGTCACCCTTGGACGTCTCATTCGCCGCTTCCCTTTCGGGTTCCACTCGAGGGCCTGACGCGCGATGTCACCCAACGGCCTCCTCAGCGAAAATCGTCTACAGAATTATTAATAAATGTAACTTTGTTCATATACATGAGTAGAAATTGATTAGACACCTGAATAAAATCAATATAAGACATGCGTGAAACAGAAGCGAAGATAAAGTACATTCGGAAACAATATTAGTGTTATCAATCAAATACAATACGATGGGAATTAAGACGATTGTTAGTCAATAAGATGGGAAATAAGATGTTTTTATAGTAGAATAAATAACTTGTTGAAGTGTTTTAATGTGAACTGAATACATTTCAACATTATTTATTAACCTCTTATTTGACTGGTGGTCATAATATCTTCCATATCTCTGGTATTTGTGTTGAGTCACTTGTATTGCATGTGTTGGGTGTAGACTCAATGAACCAGGCAGGATTCAGTAATCGACCTCTCACGCGCTCCACCTACCTATATTACTCTTTAGAATTTTAACTCTGTCCCAACCTATTTTGTGTGGTTGTGTGTTTATGGATGTAGTGCAAGTACAGAGCTGTTTTGTAAATTACTTATCTTCGTGGGATCAATAATTCTGATCTTAGCTAAATTCTCATGTTCTAATAATCTCACTACTCCCGATCTACTAATTTCACCTATGTATTTAACCTAACAGTTGTTGCAAGGTATTTTGTAAATTGTCATACTTAGTCTAATTGGGAGAGATGAGGAAATTTTACTCTTTATACGTCTAATCCTACTTCAAAAATATGGCGGAGATATGCAGATGACACTTCCTCAGTTTTACAAACGGAACGTATCTCTAGCTTCTTCACACATATAAACTCACTAGTAAAGGGAATAAAATTCTCATTTGAATCAGAAAATGAACAAGGACAATTAATTAAAAGAGTAATATAGGTAGGTGGAGCGCGTGAGAGGTCGATTACTGAATCCTGCCTGGTTCATTGAGTCTACACCCAACACATACAATACAAGTGACTCAACGCAAATACCAGAGATATGGAAGATATTATGACCACCAGTCAAATCAGAGGATAATAAATAATGTTAAAACGTATTCAGTTCACATTATAACGTCCTAAGAAGTTACTTATTTTGACTGTAAAAACATCTTGTCTCCCATCTGATTGTATTGATTGATAGCACAGTAATTTTTTCGGAATGTACTTTATCTTTCCTTCTGTTTCACGCATGACATATTGATTTTATTCAGGTGTCTAATCAACTTTCACTCTTGTATATAAACGAAGCTATAAGGTTGTGTGTGTGTGTGTATTGTCTTGATATGATTATGAGGAGCAATAAATTGTGCTCGAAACGTGGTCATCAGTAAATAAAACTTACTGTATAACCACACTGTGTGACTTTATCAAAATAAAATTTTTTTATGCATAATGGAATTATGCTCTACCACAGTGCCCAAGTTTTATATCCAATTAGTTTGCTTATTGCACATTTTGAAGCCAAAATATATATATTTTAATTATATTAGACAGTGATTTGAGCGAGTCATTTTGTTTTACTGCACTGGTTGTCTAAACTTTAAGTTACAAATTTCCTGTCATGGTTACTATGGCTACTAATTTGATGGCAAAGCGCACCAGTGAATTTTGAGTGAGGACTTCAATGAAAAAACACCTTTTTTGCGCAGGTGTACAGATAATTCAATGTTGAATCCCCTAGTGTAGTTTACCCAACAGATTTCCACATTTTGAATAAACAAAAGAATGAAACTAGAGAGTACAGGTGTGATTTTAGGTGGATTGCCAATAATTAAATGAAGATGTTTATAATAATAATCTACTTTATTCCAAAAAAACAGTACTTATAATACAGAATGTGCGTCGGTGGCATAGCGGTTAGGACGCTTGTCGACCATGCACATGGCCCGGGATTCGATCCCCGGCCGACGCACTCCTTTACCTCGCTAAGCCAGAAATAAAGCTGGTAAAGAGGAAAGGTTGGGCATAAGGCTAACAATCCCATCCTGTAGAAATAAACTTTGCTACAGAAACTTCAAGCTCCTAACTTGAGGCCCTGTGTTCCAGTGGGAACGTAAAGGAATAAAAAAAATAATAATGCAGAATGGAATTCTCAGTATTTGTCACAATATTTATAATTATGAGTATGATATAAGCAAGGTATGCGTGTCCACTATGTCATTAGGAATCTCCAATCATTTATTGGTGACATCCTGAAGACTACAACCAAACAACGTAGACATAACAAAACAGGGATAAGCTCCATTGTTTAATGGTTTTGTTTCCGTCTTATCTCTCTAGAATATATTCTAATTCAGCTACTGCTGGTATCAGAATAATGTGATGGTAAGTCTCAGTGTAGCTTCATAATCTGGTGAAATCACTTGCACGACGTCAAACCATTATCATTGATATAAGAATAAAACCTGTGCACTGTGGTAGAGCATGATTCCATTATGGATAAAAAATTTATTTTGATAAAGTCACACAGTGTTGTTATACTGTAATA